GTACTGAATGTACCATGGACTGCCAGGAAAACAAACAGATTCATCTTGGAGAGGATTAAACCAAGCTACTCCTTGGAGGTAAGGATTCTGGGGCTTCGTCTGACATACTTTGGACATGTTGCCAAGAGTGATGGGTCCTTGGAGAGGGACATCATGCTTGGGAGGGTGGAAGGACTGCGCAGGAGGGGAAGACCCTCTATGAGATGGATCGATTTGGTGACTGGGGTAATCGGGATGGGTGTGTCAGAGGCAGTGGGGTTGGCGCAGGATAGAGCAGGGTTTAGGGCTGTTGTGCATAGGGTTGCTATGAGTCGCAAGCGACTCGACGGCACATAACAACAAAAACAATGTTGGTGGGGTTGTAAGATGATACAACTACTCTGGAAGGCAATTTGGTATTTCCCCAAAAAACTGAACATAGAAATTCCATATGACCCAGCTATTCCACTAGTAGGAATATACCCCACGGAAAGTAGAACTGAGATTTGTACACCAGTGTTCATTGCAGTGTTACTTATCATCACGAGAACATGAAAATAGCCCAAATGTCTATCAGTAAATGTGGTACAGTCACACAATGGAATACTCTGTAGCACACTAAAAAATAAGGAAGGATTCAAAAATATAACACAGCATAGAGAAGTCTATAGGGCATTATGATGAGTGATCCAACTCAGTCTTATAAGAACAAAGTATTTTTTTAAAAACCATCTTTTGTCCCAAGGTAATAAATGTACACAGTCATATTTCAAAAGTCCAAGTTCGCTTAAAATGAGAACAATAGCTCTTGACCCCCCTCTGTTTGTTTCTGATAATAGATCTGTTATTGGTTATCGGCGTAATTCTAGATATTAATAGTATGCTCACACTCTTATTTCTTGACTGATTTATTAGGGATACTTAACTGTTGAGCCATTCATTATGCATTATGAAACTTCCCACTCATGCTATGTCTGAAGGCAGCTCTGGCGCCCTAGTAGGTAGAGAATTGAGCTGCCAACACAAAAACAGGCAGTTGGAACTCACCAGTTGCTCCACAAGAGAAAGATGGGCTCATCAGTGCCCTCCATCTCTGCCCTCAACAGAATGCCTGTTGATTAACTGTTACATAATCACTGTTTCATTTAATGTAATTAAAAAAATTTTTTATTTTATACTTGTTTGTTTACAAAGTTTTGTATGTATTGTTGTTAATTTTTTAATTTTTTTTTACCGATCATGCTATTTAATGTGCTAGTATTAAAAAAAATAACATTTGGGAGAAAACAACTCTCAAGGTAGAGGAGGCACAAGCTAAATCCTCATGTTGGCATTCCAGAGCCAGAGGACCTGTTAATGAGCTGATGACGCCTTGCTGGGCCCTGCTCCCTCCTTAAGCCCCAGAACCTGAACATGGCGCCTCAGGCAGGTACTTAGCAGCCCATAGGAAAGAGCTCCTGAAGCACAAGGCCATGAGCACGCAGCTCCCGTGTCTGGAAAATCAAGCCACCCTCCTTTCTTCATGAGACACATGGTTATAGAGTCAGGTCTGGAGCTTGTGAGGCTAGGTCTCGGTGAGCTGTGCTGTAAAAGGCCTGCCCCCAGTAGTGAAGATGAGCTGAGATGGTGCCCTAAAGGTTGGTGGTAGGAAGAGCCCCCTAGCTGTTTGTCCTCCTCTTCTCGCCTGTCTCTTTGGGCATCACTCCAAGGCCAGGTATCTGCAGCTCCTGTATTTCCTATTTACCTGCCACTGCAGCTCAGCAAAGGTTCATCTTCCTGGGCTCTCATAGTTCATTCTGTCCATATAGGAGCCAACCTTGGAGCACTGCAGTGTCCCCTTCAGGCCACTGTCACTGCCTCACTTGACCATCAACTGCTGGCTCTGTGGTTATTCTGTAGCCAGCAAAGCACCCTGGCCAAACCTGCACCCTCCACTGTGTTGAGGTTCTGCCTGGCACAGGCAATGATGTCCGAGAGCCTTAGTAATGACTTCATCTCCTCCATGCTCACGTAACAGGACAGGTCAATTTTACTGAAGATTATTAGAAGTGACGCTTCTGTGAGTTGTTCTGCGGACAGGAGACCCGGAAGGCGCGCATAGGATGCCAAGAGCTGCATGGGGTCAGAAGCGTCCACCATGAACAGGAGAGCATAGCCGTTTCCGTAGTAACTGGGCCAGATGGGGCCTGTGCAGTCCCCCAGCTCTCTAATAGTGATGACCTTCTTCTGTATCATGATATCAGTGAGGTTGGTGCCCACCGTAGGCCGCATCGGGGGCAGATACCCCAGGTCACCCTTCCTATGAGGGGCGCTCATCTTCTGCAGTTGCTTTATCAGCCATGTCTCCCTGATGCCAGTGACTCCCAGCAGGAGACACATTCTGGGTCTGCCATAGCCCGGCACCGTTGTTGTTGTTGTTATGTGCCATCGAGTCGCTTGCGACTCATAGCGACCCTATGTACAACAGCCCTAAACTCCACTCTGTCCTGTGTCAATC